ATGAGGGGTAAAATCGTTAAAAAGTTGAGAAAATGACGTTGAGCGCACAAAAAGTTGAAGGTAGGGGCATAAATGCCAAGAAATGAAAGGTATGGTCGGTTTCCAAAATCAACCCCAAAGGTAGGGATGTTTTGTGCTAATTAGCCTTAAAACAACTATATAAACAAAAGGAATATTATTTAATGTAGTATATAGTTGAAAATGTGTGAAATCTACTAACTTGATTTATTAGAGTAATTCTTCTTTGTATAATGATAGAGGATCAGTAGATCTGAATTAGACATCAGTATCTGTTTGGGTAGGTAGGTTATGGAATGACTTTATAAAAGATCAAGGGAATATTAACTCCATCCTTAGTGGGGCAAAGTTACGATGTTATTGTAAATATAAGTATAGCTGGTATGTAAAGATCTTTCAACGTCTAACATTTTTGTGAGTTGTGATCAAGGAAAACAACCACCCCTTGTCAATGCTAATGTGACATACATATTTATGAATTGAAGTGCTGATGAGTACGTAGCTGCTATTGTATTTTTGCGGAGATCAGTATTCTTTGCTTCACTTCAGTGATGTAGAAACTAACTTTTAAATATGTCCTATTGCGAATTAGTTGCTTCTCTACCAGTTTACTTTTGTGTAACCAGCCCAAAAAAACTCATACCTTCAACCCTTCCTCCAATGTAGATAATTTTGTATCAAACATCCTTTTATCAAACCAGCATTTCAAATTATTATTGTTTACTTTTTAGCTTGAGACTAACTTGCTTAAATAGACTCAGTTCTTGGAAATGGCCAACTCTTTACTTTTCGAAGATTTATGGACTAAAATATGTATAATCCATATTGTTATATGGATTTGTGTACTATATTTTTTTTACAGGCATTTTGCAGAAGGCTAATTGAACAAAATATGATGGGTTTTTCTATTACTTCTGTATAATGTGCTCTGGTTTTAGAGTTTGTAGTAATTTGCAGATGGCCCCTATCTCCCTTCCTCAAAATGAATACGCATTCGCACTCATGCACGCATGCTGCAAAATAGAATCTGTATACCATACTCCTTTTGTTTTTCCAATAGAAAACATAAATTCATTGTTGAAAAACAGAGGCAAAAATTTCAGAGAACTAGGGGTTGTTGATACAATCTCGTTCTTCTTCCTCTAGTTAGCTGGAAGCTTGTGAGCCTTCAGTACGGGTAGTAATTGTAGTTAACCATATCTACTGGCTACATTTCCCTATGTAGATGAGCTCTGCATCAATATGCCGAGGCAATAATATGCTTTGTCTTTTCTATGGTCTAATACCTATTGATCTACCCCATCTTCATCTATTGTTGAAGGGGTGAGGGAGTAGACCTTTTCTAACTAATGGGAAGATCCTTCATCTTTGCACCGCAGATCAATTTGGTGAAGCTACTTATCAAATTGAGTTATGATTCTTTTTTATCAACAAAAACTTATTACTGAATGCTCTCTGGTTTAATCTGTTCTCTTATATCTAGTTAACTTGTCATTTTTATTTCCTTCGTGAATCTTCTTTCTCTAGAAATAG